CCTTCATTCAAACAGTCTCTGCTAGGCCATGCCTCACAGCCTGCTCCTCTCTCTCTATCAGCACCGAGAGAAGGGAGGGGGGGAGGGAAGGGCTTCTAGGTCGACGTCGAAGGCATAGAGGCCCTGCCCCCTCCCGCAGCAAGGGTGGCCATAACTTTTTAAATAGCCCTTAACGAGAGCTGAGGGAGCCAGAATGACCTCTCGAGTGTGATATGGAATTTGCCCCTAGGAGTCCAAGGCCACCACCCCAGGGCTTCGCGCCCCTCCCCCCACAGCTGTTGCAGCAGATGCGATAGCGGCGGCAGCCATAACTTTTTAAATCACCACACCTCAGTAGAGGGGGAACAGGACATCATCTGGATGCTGGGCACACAGGTGACCTCCTAAGAGGGCCATTTCAGCCTGGCTCTTTGTCCACACACCTCCGTAGAGGGGGAATAAGCCATCATCAGGTTAGGCGAACTCCAGAAGAGTGCCATCGCAGCCTGGCTCTTTGTCCACACACCTCAGCAGAGGGGGAATAGGCCAGCATCAGGCTAGGCGAACTCCTAAGAGTGCCATTGCAGCCTGGCTCCTTGTCCACACCCTCAGCAGAGGGGGAATAGGCCATCATCAGGCTAGGTGAACTCCAGAAGAGTGCCATCTCAGCCTGGCTCTTTGTCCACACCCTCAGCAGAGGGGGAATAGGCCATCATCAGGCTAGGCAAACTCCAGAAGAGTGCCATCGCAGCCTGGCTCTTTTTCCACACCCTCAGCAGAGGGGGAATAGGCCATCATCAGGCTAGGCGAACTCCAGAAGAGTGCCATCGCAGCCTGGCTCTTTGTCCATACCCTCAGCAGAGGGGGAATAGGCCATAATGACACAGTGGAAATCCACACAAAAACATAAAAAATAAAAATAAGATCTTCTTTAGATGTATTTCATTGTTCACTTGAATAAAAAAAAACTGTTGAGAATAAAAAATCTCAGCCTCAAAACTGAGGTGAGGAAAAAACACAGAGAACAGCAGTGGAGATGATCTCTCCGTGGCGGCAAAAAGAGAACTGAGGGAGTAGTGCCCCTCCTCCTGGTCATGTGAGCGTTTTGGCGGGAAAACGCCAGAGGGAGGACGGGCACTCCTAGTCTATTAGAAAGCTTGCAAATCTTTTCCGTGGCTGGCCTGCGCCTGCGCAGATCCCATGTGGGACTGCACAGAAGCCACGATGATGTATCTGAGCTTTCATGTTTGTAGTTTTAAATAATCTCCAAACTTCCCAAAGGGATTTGACTCTCCTTACCTTTCCTTTCAGTTTCTTTTTCACAATCCACCTCATTTGGGAGAAGTTACCCTTTCTAAAGTTAAATCTGGTAGTGCTGGTCTTTTGGGGCAACTCCCTATTTACATAAAGACTAAACTTAATAGCACTATGGTCACTGTTACCAACTGGTGCTATCACATTTACATCTCTCACCAGGTCTTGAGCATTATTTAGGACCAAGCCCCCATGGTAGGTTCTGTGACCATCTGCTTCATGGAACAGTCACTGAGAGTATCTAGAAGCGCAATCTCTTTCTCTTGATTTGAACATTTACTGATCCAATCAATGTGTGGGTAGTTAAAATCATCTATTATGACAAAGGTTCCCCCCCCCCCAAATCTAGCTGTTTTTCTTAATTCTTTTGCTGTTTTTAAATCATCACCTAACCTTTGATCTGGTGGGAAATAACAAACTCACAAACTTCTTTTTGGGCACACTATTTCCATTCATTGTGTTTCTGTAAGCGAATCTATTTCTCTTACATTTACGATTTTACTGGACTGTTTACCCTCTCTGACATACAGAGCCACTGCACCTCTGACCATTCCTTCCCAATTCTTCTGATATAATTTATATCCGGGAATCACTGTAACCCACTGATTATCCTCATCCCGCCAAGTTCAAGGATGAATATATTGGAGGAAAAAACTGGCTGATCTGATCCTATTATAACAAAGGAATGTACCTAATGTTCCTAATAGATACTACTCCACTGACAGGTGAGGCAACGGTGTTGGAGCTAATCGGACAGTGGCACAGGAATGCTTCATAGGTGCTCAACTCAGGTGAAGGGCGGGGTGATCACCAATCCTGGGAAGGCTTTGTAACTAGGGTTGCCAGGTCCCTCCCCAGCCACCAACAAAGGGTGGAAATGCCAGCTCCAGGTTGGGAAACTCCTGGAGTTTTGGGGGTGGAGCCTGGGGAGGACAGGGACCTCAGTGGATACAATGTCACAGAGTCCACCTTACAAAGCATCCATTTACTCCAGGGAAACTGATCTCTGTAGTCTGGAGATGAGCTGTAATTTCAGAGAACCCCAGGTCCCACCTGGAGACTGGCATCCCTAACACAACTGAATCTAAACGCACAACTGAACACACTAAGGAGTGTGCAGAGCCACATACGGCTGTATTTGAAACAACTGAAATAAACATTTACCTTTCAATACATTGATCGTGCAAACATTTATTTTCTTGTTTTACATATAGAGTTTACATATATGCTTGGTTATCATTAAGACAAGCAGTATACATCAAATGAATTCTTACAGCCTGTGCGGTTGTACAGCTCAAACATGTAAGGAGTAAATAAGTACTACATCGGCATGCTGGTTGCCTCGTTCATGTATTCACCAACAATCCTGACGTTTTTAAGATGTAGACTCCTCTTCTATGCAGCTCAAATGAGTACTTCAAACCTAATGGGGAAAAAAGCATTCCTGATCTTTTGGGTCCTATGATATTGGACGGTCAAATGGACTCATGGTAGTATGTGTCATTATTCCTCCAGGCCTGATGGGATCAAGCAGAGGTCCCCAAACTTTTTAAGCTTGTGGGCACCTTCGGAATTCTGACACAGCATGATGGGCGCAGCCACAAAATAGTTGCCACGGGAGCAGCCAGCCAGCCACAAAACTGCTGCAGCTTACCCCTTCAGTCACACAGTGAAGATCCCCCGTGCTGGTAGCTGCTGCCAAAACATTTAAAGAATCTGCACAGAAAATCAAATCTCCCAAGCCAATCAGAAGCCTTGCTGGGCAAAATCCCCACCTGGCATCGCCCACTTTCTAAAAAAACATTTGATGGGCACCAAGAAAGGCATCAGTGGGCACTCTGTTGGGGACCCCTGGGATAGAGCAGATGTTCACATCATGTCCTCTGATGAGATGCCCATCCCATTTCCATCCAAAGATGCATCCAGCTGGGCTTAGGCAAGTATGGTGATGCATATGAATATGTATTCAAGCTGTAAACTGATCACCAATCTGATGCGCTGTGGGCTGGTGTGGATCCAAGTAAGAAGTTCATTCAAATCAATAGCAGTTTTGCTGTGCACTTCAGCAAGGGCAGGTTTCACCAAGAGATTCAAGGACTAGATGCAGTAGGTGCTGTAACATTTTCCAATTTTCTGGCTAAAAGCAAGGGTGGGGGTTTCTACCCAGAAATGGCTGCAGTATGCAGGAAATATCACCACAGTCAGCCGCAAAATTCACTAAGCTGCAAATGAGGTGCCGTTAAAAACCGGTAAGGTGTGTGGATCAATCTCACAAACCGGCAGGGCAGGAACTGGGCATTCATGCTTTTCAGCAGCGTTACTGATGGTAGATTGTCCTCCAGAACATTTCCCTGAGCTGGGAAACCTCTACTGTGTAACTTCTTAGCTAGCATTGTTGCAATGAGGCGGTTGTACCCTTTCCTACGATGGTCAGGCAGGGTGTAACCGTGAATCATAGTAGCAAATTGGTCTGTCAGGCCCCAGGATACGGGACTTCCATTTTCATCCAGGACACAGACACTAGGGAAGCAGCAAATAAGGCTGGCTAGATACTTCCGGCACTGTTCACTGCCTCCACGGGACCAGGTCTCGTTCAGGAGGCTGGCGTGTGACACGTCAAGAGAAGCCAGTCTTGGTGGAGGATTTAGCCTTTAAAAAAATAGGGTGCTGTTTAACTGCATTGCAATGATCACCGCAGCTGGAAAATAAGAACGCTACTGGAGAGGATGGGGAAGAAATGGCAAGAGAAGATGTGTACTCAGATGCAGAGGGCAGCATGCTGTAGGTGGGTAGGGTTTGTCAGAGCTTCAGAAATCACGGGCCTCTTTCTGAGATTTCCACTTTTTCTGTGCTGTCCATCCCCCTCCGCTGCCTCTCGGTCTGCCCGTCTGGTCCCTACAATTCCTACCCTGCTTCATACAAGGGATGAGCATGAATTGGAAAAATGAGGTTCGTGTGCGTGGTTTGTGCCTGAACCACGAACTGAACAGGGAGGTTTGTTTGCGAACCAAACCAGTTCGTGGCCATGCAAACCCCATGGAAAGGGATCTTGGAGTCTCTTTAAACCCCTATTTTCTGCTCTATCCACGAACTGCTGTAAAAGGTTGTGGAAGTTCATGATGGTAGACCCAACATGAACTTCGGTTCGCAAACCACAAACAGAACAAAATTTGTCATGAATTTTGCTTCATGGTTCACTTTGTGCCCATCCCTATACTTACATAACCCACCCAGATCCTAGACTCCTATCACTGTACTGGCTCCCCAAAGCCTACACTCTAGGATCCCCAACCATTTTGAGCCTGCAGGCACCTTTGGAATTCTGACACAGAATGGTGGGCACAGCTGCAAAACGGCTGCCAAAAAATAGCTGTTGCAGGAGGAAGGACAGTCACAAAATGCCACTTACCTCCAGAGCCTTATGCTGTGGTGGTAACTGATGCCAACCCAACATGTAAAAAAAATCAGCACAACCAATCAAAACTCCAGTGGCCAATCAGAAGCCTTGCTGGGCAAGAGCCCTACCTGGCCCCACCCACTTTCCACTTGGTGGGCAGCAGTAAAGGTGTTGGTGGGTACCGTGGCACCCACAGGTACCACGTTGGAGACCCCCAGACTACACACATATGGCCTCCTTCTCCCCCAAGTCTTTTTCTCTAACCTTAGGCAGAAATCAGAGACTGACAATACCACTGCCCTGTAAGAATCAAGCGCCATGCTTTGGAAGACCCGGAGTGTATCTTCAGTAAGACAGAAAAATAATTTGTACATCCTTAGCAGAACCTCAGGCCCAGCCCCCAGATTAGAATAGGAACAAAAGCTGTTGTATGAAATACACTTGATGGACTCTTCTGTGCATATTGTAGTTTAAACATTTTTTTTCCTGCAAAAGCAGCTGCAGGGATGATATTATTAACAAGGGAAACTTTTCCTCCCCTGCTATTTCTTTTCTGTAAGTTACCCCAAAGTTGCTTTTACTTTTGCTGGGGGAAACTTGCAGGTCCTCTAAGTTTTCTACAAGAAGGGTGAAATCAGCTTAGGGACGGCAGAAAGAAAAGGATGTTCTTTAAAATATACCCATAAGAAATCAGCAGAGGTGGCTGCGTATATTGTCTCCGTAATTCTTGCAAACCTTTTGTGGAGTAGGCCAATTTTACCCCAGCTCATAAATCCCCGCTTTTAATCAATAGGTTATGAACCACTAAATACAGCTGTGGATCTAAAGGCTGGTAGAAAACAGGCTGCTGTTTTCTAAAATTCAGAACTTTTCCAAATAAAACCACTTATAAACAGAATCATTATTACATGCCTTGCTCAAGCAGGAAAAACCTCTGGATTTTAACTCTGGTGCCTTCCCAGAGCTTCAAAAGTGACATGGAGAGATAAGAAAAAAACTCCAGCCATCACACAGTATACTAATGCAAAACAGGTAGAAAGCAGCAGGTGGGAAGATTTTTACATAAAATGCAGCAGATCCACACTATTTAATTCCTTACTCTGGGTACCCAACAGCAGCATTGCTATGGAAAGTGATGGGACATACTTAAGGTTAACCTCTGGGAGTGCATCCGGATCTGGGTGGATAACCATTTGGAAAGACGACTGCTTCACAGCCACCAGCTTGGGACCAGCAACGGCTTTGGAAACGTCAAATAACCCATCCTGTAGGCCTGTGTGTATAAAAAGTACACATGTACAATCTGACATGAAGTCTGGTTAGCATTAAGTCCTGATGCCTTGAGTCTAGATTAAAATCTTCTAGCAGAAGACAAAACTGATCGGAGAAATCTTCTCCATAGTTCTCAAAAATTCTTCAGAAATGCCTCCCTTTTTTTCAGCAGAGAAAGAACACCCAAATTTGCTTTGAATCTCTCTTAAGGTGAAAGATAATTCCAAGGAACAGCACAATTTATGTCTCTCACTGACTTATGCAAATTAAATGTAGAATTCATTCTCCTTTTTATTTAAATGAGAGGACCTCTTACCAACCAATTACTGAAAGGATCAAACAAAATGGTTTGCTAATACTTGGAGACGGTTAAGAACATAAGCATAGCCTTGGTGGATCAGTCCCTCTAGTCTACCACTCTGTTTCCAACAATGAGCAGTCAGGTGCTACAGGAACACCGCCTTTGCCTTCTGACTGCTCCTTAGACATTAACAGAGCCTCTAATCTTGGAGGCCCCATTCAGCTATTGACCTCTGCTCCATAAATCTGTCCGACCTCCTTTTAAATCCACATTAAATGGGAAATGTACAAACCCCACAACACACAAAGGGAGGACATTGCTAAAGAGGTCTCCTTCACCAGCTCGTTTGATACCTTGCTTCACACATTACTAGGAGAAAATCTTTCTCTTCAAGATTCAGTCTTGCATTTATGCATCCTGGCTTCTATTGCCCAGCAAACAATAGGCCTTACCCTGTATCTGGAATACTTGCTCCCAGTTTATTGTTTCTGGGTTCCCCAGCAACGCCCAATACGCTTGCAAATCCTTGTAGAAAACGGCGTAAGCATTGGTAAAAGAGTCTAGATCATCACTTTCAGCCTAGGTTTAAAAGAAACAACACACTTAAATTTCATGTATATGTCTCTCTTTCTCCTGCACACGCGTTCTTGCAATCACAACTGGTCTGAATAGGAGCCCTGTGACACTATGGCTGCTGGTTAGAGAAAGGTAATTACTACATTCAGGCTCATTTGGGGCAATAAAAACCATCACCTGCCAGATCCCCTGGCCAAGGCAGGGGTCCCTGGCTCCCGGGCCCCACCTACCCAGCTGGCCGGCAGGGGGGGGGGCTCACCCAGAAAAAGAGGGAGATCCAGCATCATTATCCACATGACCTAGAAGTGATGCCCTTACTTTCAGGATATCAGGGGTGACACTCTGGTATTTGTGCAAAAACCCGATGGTAAATTTGGCTTCTACCATAGTTTTTCTGTGTACTGCCTTAATCCCCACCCCCATTTCGTGAAAGAGGTAGTGATTAGCAAAAACAAAAAATCGACCCCACCTTAGTTGTTTTATTCCTCTGGGTGGATATATATTTATAACCAACTTTCCTTCCGTTAGACACAGGTGGTATGTTTAGAGCCCCCAAGAAGTCTCTCATCTGAGCACTGACCAGACCGCTACCCCCACAGCCTCAGCGAAGGGCCATGTCAATATCCCAGGGACAGCATCGCCTCATGATCGGATGGTATAACCAGGGGTCATTTCGTAGAAAAAGAGGTGCAGGAGCTCATTAGCATAACTTATTTGCATATGCCACACCCCCTGACATCATCGGAAGTGTGTCAGAAGGCAACACCCACCACTCAGGCTTCACTGGACTCTTTTTGGATTGCTAGCTAGCGGGGGAGGGGGACGTGCAGATCTGCCCTCACAGAGGAGGGAGAGCTTGTACCTGAATAAACTTTGGCCTTAAAGGTGCCACGGGACTGTTTTGGATTGCTATTTTGGGGGGGGGGGCTCTGCAGCTTACCTGTCTGCTTCGTGCTCTGACTGAGGGCTGCTGGGAGCTGGGGGTGGGGCTTGTTGCATGTGCCCGCCCCCTGGGCTCTTTACTGCCGGAGCTCCGCTCCTGTGCGCTCCTGCAGGAAATGACCCCTGGGTATAACTATTAACTTGAGTGGAGGAAGAATCTCCTGGCATTCCCAGATGTGGCCACAGCAAACAACCACTGCAGTTTGACTCTAAAAAGGAATGCAAAGGGAGGGAAACCTGTGGGAACAACTGGCTGTAGTAAATCAAATGCTGTAGAATACGAATAGTAACTTGTTATATTATGGGGAGTTGTGAATTTGTCCATGTCTCCTTATTGTACGGTATAGTTATTTTAACATGATCCCTTACAGGAAAAAAAAACCTTTGCTTTACTTTCACTTTTTATTTGTTATATTGTTCCTGGCTGTATTTAGTTATGGCCCAGCAGGGCCCAGGCCAGGCCTTGCCTGTGTTCTAATAAAATTATGCTCTGTTTTGGTATCGGGTGCTGTGGGGTTATTACAACAACCATGAATGACAGCCCTATTTAAAGCCCTGTTTACCTCCCTCAGGTGCCTAAGAGTGTGGATAAGACTAGCATATGCTGCTTTGTTGCCCTTTGAACAATCTGAAGGAGATGGCTTCCCCTCATTACTTTTTGCAATTTGTAATACCCAGAAAAATAAGAGGTGCATTGGAGGAACAAGGGATACGAAAGACAGAGGGGGCAGAGGCGGCAGCCATTGCTGTACCTCTCTCTGCCGACGAGTAATGACAGCTTTAAATTCTGGCCATGAGTCCACCACCACTTCCTTCCTGAAGGGATTTCCTCGGTTGATATTCAGCACTGCTCCATATACCTTTCAAAAAGAAAAATACCAGGTAATTGGAGAGGTCAGGGCGGTACTTTATATTATTATTACTATTGCAGTTTCTTTTTATGATCTTCAGACAGACTTAACTTGATAGAATCTAGGATATTTTTGTCCCAATTCTCCTTCAAGGAGGCTCACACATGGCCCTGACCCTGATAGCCCAGGCAAAACCAATCTCGTCAGATCTCCGAAGCTAAGCAGGGCCAACCCTGAAAAGTATTTGGATGGGAGACCTCCAGAGAACACCAGGGCCGGGAGACCAGAGGAAGGCTATCAAGCCACCTCTCTGAACATTCCCAGTGCCCCAGTAGGAGTTGCCAGAGGTTGCCATGACTTCCAGGCATGGGCACACATACAACATGCAAATACAAAAAAAAAAAGGGAGGCTCATATACGGTTCTCCTTTCCCCACCTGACCCTCACACATGCAGCCAGCTAGGTGCCCTTGGCCCAGTCATGGTTCTCTCAGAACTCTCTCAGCCTCACCTACCTCACCCAGAGGGTATCTGTTGTGGGGAGAGGAAAGGAAGGCGATCGTAAGCCGCTTTGAGACTCCTTTTAGTAAAAGGTAACGGTTTCCCTTGCTCAAAAGCCAGTTGAATCCGACTCTAGGGTTGCGGTGCTCATCTCCGTTTCAAAGCTGAAGAGCCAGCGCTGTCCGAAGACGTTTCCATAGTCATGTGGCCGGCATGACTAAACACCGAGGTGCACAGAACGCTGTTACCTTCCCACTGAAGTGGTACCTATTTATCTACTTGCAATTTCTTGCTTTCAAACTGCTAGGTTGGCAGGAGCTGGAACTAGAGATGGGAGCTCACTCCATCATGCGGCACCCGGGTCTCGAACTGCTGAACTACCGACCTTCCACAGCCTGCAGATCAGCATCTTAACCACTCTTTTTCTTCTTATACCAAATCAGGCCCTGGGTCCATCACTCATTCTTGTCTCCTCAGACTGGCAAGGCTTTCTGGGGTCTCAGGCAGAAGTCTTTCACGTCACCTACTGCCTGGCCCTTTTATCTGGAGGTGCCGGGGATTGAACCTGCATGCCAAGCTGATACTCTACCGCTGAGCCATGGCCCCTCCCTAAGATGGCTTCTCCCAGCCACCTTTCTGGCCAAGCATTCCGCTGCCCTCGTAATGACTCATATGCCTTACCTTTAGGGATTCCGGGAAATTCTTCTTTAACAGGTGCTCCAGTTTCTGCAGCTTTGTGGAGCAGTTGAGTACCAACATCTTCCTGGAAGTGGTTAACCGCCACCTAGGGATGAACGGGGAACAGCTCAGCAGGCACGGGTGGTAACAGCAATGATTGGAAGCAAGACTTTGCTGTGCCAGAGAAGTGCAAGCCTGAAACAGGCTCCGAGGTAACTACCCATCCCCAGTGGAGAGGAGGAGGAGAAGAGGAGGAGGAAGAGGAGGAAATTGGATTTTTATACCCTGCCCTTCACTACTGGAAGGAGTCTCAGAGCGGCTTACAATCTCCTTCCCTTCCCGTCCCCAAAACAGACACCCCGTGAGGTAGGTGGGGCTGAGAGAGCTCTTTCAAGGACTGCCCTTGAGAGAACAGCTCTGAAAGGACTCCTGACTAACCCAAGGTCACACCAGCGGCTGCATATGGAGGAGCGGGGAATCAAACCTGGTTCTCCCAAATTAGAGTCCGTGCTCTTAACCATGACACCAAACTGCCTGTCTTTTACATTAAATGGGGGGGGGGGAGCAGTTCATTTTATAATAAACTGGATTTAGTCCTGGAATTAAATGCCTGTGAAGAGGTGTTTTTTTTACACATTAACAGAATATAAACCAATAGTATTATATAGCATAAAACAGAAGGGGTGGACATTGTACGCTAGGTCCCTGTTGTGGGTGGGGGAAAGCTGGGTATAAATATCTAAATCATTAAAACAGACCTGGTGTGTTTCTTGTAAAAGCGGGCTGGGGGAAGAAAGACAGTAAAAGACATTTACCGTAACAACTGCTATGTCTCTTAAAAGCTAAGGGTCTATCCAGTTGGACTGTGTGACGACCTCTTATTTGGGGAGGTCTAGTTTTACTTTTAAAAGTTATTTATGTATTGCTCTCAGGGTACTCTCGCCGCCACCAGGAAAATTTAAGGCTTTCCACACCTTTATACTAATATATTACTTCTTCTGGGTTGGTATTATAGCCCGGGGTCTAGGCGTCTCGAGGAACTATGTGGTCCTGAGAAAGGATTTCTTTCAGAACTTGTATCTTGAAATAAAGTATATTTATTCAAATAACTTGTAAATAATATAGTAGTACGAGGTAACTGGTACTGTGAATATTCTTAACTCTTGCTTTATGTCTCACATAAGGTCTGCTCTTTGGCTGACAGGGATCTGAGCATGTCACTCTGTAACTAATATTTCCTTATGCCATATATGGTTACTGTTTCTTTATGCTTTAACTTTCCATAACACACAAAAGTCTTCTCTCTCATCAGACTTTAAAATGAACAGACTGTTTAACTCCTTTACTACATAGAACCAAATCTTTCCCACACAGGGATTGAGTCTCCTTCACTCAGAGACAGCACTTAACTTAACTCTCTCTCATACCATACTTTTACAGACTTAACCGTCTGCTTAACACAGAGACTTTTACTTTTATATTCCACACAGGAACCTCTCACACAGAGAACTCAGGACAAAACTCATATTAACTCCTTTACACAGCACACTCTGCTCTGACTGACTAACTGTTTTTCTCAACTGTCATCATAAACTGTCTAAACTCTAACAGTCACTCCTGATAGACATTCAAATCATCCACACAGCATCCATTCCAAAAACCCCTCCCCCTCTCTGTCACTCACCAATCACACAACTTGCCTGTTTCAGCATTCTAGATTGTCCCACACAGCCATGCCAACCAACTTTTAAACACACACACACACACACACAGTAAAACATGGAATCGTTACAGACTGCTTGGGGTCATGGAACAGGACTTCAGTCAGCCCCCAACCACTGCAGTTCCCTGCTCTTTTTGCCATAGAAACCACCATAGGAAGTTGCCTTATATGGGGGGTGGGGGGTGGCTAAGCCACTGATCCATCTGATGGTACTGCTTATGACTGGAAACACCTTTTTAAGGTCTTAAGACACAGGGAGGGCTTTCTCGACTCCATTTCCCAAGATACTTCAATGGGTGATACTAAAGACTGAGTCTGGAACATCGTGCATTGCAAACTTTGCTGACTACCAAATTAACTGAACTATCATTTTATGCCCACTTCCTTTTCCCCACTGGCTAACTCAAACCTTGGCTGACTGCTTAATTTGTAAAACTTGTCGGTCCAATCTCTACAAAAGATACTGTGATGTACAAAAAGAGGGGGAAGTTAAACAAGGTATCTCTGAAAGCGTTCAAAAGCTAGCAGCAACAATGTCTAATTCTGAATATGGCCCTACAGTGCAGATACACAGGTGTCTTTGTGTGGGGGGGGAGCTTTTTCTGGAAACCTAGGGGAAAAAACAGGTTGCTTACCAGTAACTGGTGATCTTCGAGTGGTCATCTGTGCATTCACACCAATGGGTTTAGTGCGCCTGCGCTGACCCGACCGGTGCTGTAGCAAGCTATGTTTCAAAGGATTTTCGCGCGGGTCCCACTGAGCATGCGCAAGAACCCCAGCACGCATGCTCAGAGGGGACGGGCGCGGAGATCCCGCCAGTTCCTTCAAAGCACCGCCGCCAATCAACACCTATCAAAAAATCAGGAGCTGACAGCAGAGGGGAAGGAGGGCGGGTGGTGTGAATGCACAGATGACCACTCGAAGATCACCAGTTACTGTAAGCAACCTGTTTATCTTCTTCGTGGTCTCTGTGCTTCACACCAATGGGAGACTAGCGAGCCATATCCTACCTGGAGGAGGGTGCTGGCAGGATGTTCATCGCTGGGCTGAAGACAAAACGTGACGGCCGATGCTGTCATTTGTGCGTCGGACGTCGAGGGCGTAGTGCCTGATAAATGTATTGGGCGTAGCCCACGTGGCAGCTTTGCAGATGTCATGTATTGGCACACCTTTCAGAAAAGCCGTAGACGTCGCGAGAGCCCTAGTGGAGTGAGCTCTGATGGGACCAGGCAACGGCTGTTTTGCCAGGAGGTAACAAAGACGTATCAACTCCACTATCCACTTGGATAGACGCTGGGCTGTTATACGAGTCCCCAGGCGAGGTGACGCATATGAAAGGAATAGATGGGGACCTTTCCTAGTTGGATGTGTCCTTTTCAGGTAGAACAAGAGAGCCCTCTTGACATCCAGTGTATGCAGTAATCTATCCTCAGCAGATACTGGATTTGGAAAGAAAGTCGGCAAGAAGACTTCAGCTTGCAGATGGAATTCGGAAATTACTTTAGGCAGGAACGAAATGTCCGGTACCAATCTGATTCCGTCAGGAAGTACGGAAAGGTAAGGGGCGTCGTGCCTGAACGCCAAAAGTTCTCCAACTCTCCTGGCCGACGTAATTGCAACCAAAAATGCTGTCTTCCACGCTAGGAGACGCAGTTCGCATGTGGCCAGAGGTTCAAACGGCTTCCGTGTAAGTTGGCGCAGGACCAGGGGAAGGTCCCAAGGCACAGGCGGAGACTTGAGTGGAGGATAAAGGCGAAGTAAACCTTTCAGGAAGCGTTTGGTGACTGGATGGGTGAACAGTGAATAACCATCAACTGGAACATGAAAAGCTGACAATGCAGCCAAATAAACACGCAACGAGGAGTGGGAGAGCCCCGAGTCAGCGAGGGATAAAATAAATGAAAAAATTTTCTCCAGACCCGCAGTGGTTGCCCGGGAGGCATCAGCCCCAATAAAGGAGCAGAATTTAGTCCATTTCTGGGCGTAAGACCTGCGCGTGGACTGTTTCCTTGAATTCAAAAGGACATGCTCTATGCGAGCAGAGAATCCCTTGGAAGTATTCGCCACGCCGTCAGCTTCAGTGCTTTCACGTCCTGATGAAGCACCGGGGAGTCGTGGAGGTGAAGTAGGTCTGGAACGACAGGGAAGTGGTAGAAGGTTTTTCGGGACAGGTCGAGGAGGGTGGAAAACCAGGGTTGCCTGGGCCACCAGGGCGTTATTAGTATCACGTGTGCATTGTCCCTGAGGATCTTGCGCACCACCCTGAGGATCAGCGGAAGAGGGGGGAACATATAGAGGCGTTTCTGAGACCATGGGTACAGGAGACCGTCTCCTAATGACTGGGCATCGTACCCTCCTCTGCTGCAAAATAGACGACATTTTTTGTTTTGAGTCGTTGCAAAAACGTCGACTTGGGGAGTGCCCCACAACTGGAAAACTGGGAGCAGGTAATGTGGTCGTATTCCCCACTCGTGAAGACTGAGGCCAGAGCGGCTGAGATGATCTGCCTCTATATTCTGCTCTCCCGGTATGTGAGTTGCCACCAGGAAAACTTCGTTGGCTGTGCAGAATTCCCACAGATGTAGAGCTAGTTTGCATAGACGCCTGGAAACCGTCCCGCCTTGGCGATTTATGTAAGACATTGCCGTAGTATTGTCGGTCAGAATATTGACGCATTTCCCTCTGAGTAGAGGGAGGAAGCTGGTCACTGCATTTTGAACAGCCAGGAGTTCCAGGTAGTTGATATGGTTTTTTCGTAGACTGTGATCCCATGTGCCCCCTATGGAGCATCCCATGGAATGAGCGCCCCAACCAGTCATGGAAGCGTCGGTAGTAAGGACGATTTCCGGGGAAGGGAGGTGAAACGGGGCCCCTTGTAGGAGGTTGGAAGGCACAGTCCACCAGCGGACGGCGTCTCTGACGTAGGATGGGGGAGAGAGGATGACGGCACGTGCCTCCATGTGCGGCTTGTACGATTGGAGGAACCAGAGTTGTAGTTTCCTCATTTTGAGTCTCGCAAACAGTAGCACTGCATTCGTTGCAGCCATGAGCCCTAGAAGCCTCTGGACGTCGTAGGCCGTGACGGTGGGCTGTGTGCACACCCGACAAGCCAGAGCGATTATGTCTTCTGCCCTGTCCGGGGGAAGATAGGCCATGCAGTCTTGGGAGTCGAGTATCGCTCCTATATATTGGATACGCTGGACTGGGGAAAAATGGGACTTGGACGGATTGACTTGAAGGCCCAGTTCGGACAGCAGGGACAATGTGAAGGAGACGTTGGCTTCTAGTATCTGTCTTGACGACGCGACGACCAGCCAATCGTCGATGTAAGGATACACCGAAATCCCCTGGAGCCTCA